GTAGAAGGTAGGACATACATGTCTTATAAGTTTAAAGGTGAAGGGTGATGAATTAGGAATGATCAGGGAGACATTAAGGAAAAACAGGAAGGGCTGGGTGTGGAAGGAGACAAGCACCCCAAAGTCCCCATGCCAGGGGGACTTCTCAGAGCTGATGAGATGTTGTTAGTGTGTTCCTCCAGAGTGTGTGCTCCAAACTGAGCTGGGACATTTGCATGGAGGAGACGGGACCTGGGAAGAGGAGAGTCTTTCTAGGAGGGTGATTGATCCTTGTGTGCACATAGAGATTTCAACTCTCAGCAGAGAGTGTGCAAAGCCAGGCAGGGAGGGAAGTGAGTTGGTACCCAAGGGAGCTGGACCATGTGTCATTCTCCCTGCCTAAGATGATGGGAGGGATCGGAAAGGAGAGCACCTGAAAAGGAAGACAGAGAAGAGGTGTGAGAGGGACCGAAGCTGTTTCAGAGCGCAGCAGCTACGTCTCAAGCTGGAAGACATCGGTTGCTGTGTGGCAAACGTCCATCGGGAGGGCTGTGGGACACCAGCAGACAGTGAGCAGCCAGGGCAAGGAAGAGGCTAAGCTCTGGGTCTGAGTGGATTGGGGAAAGCCATAAACCGTCATTACCCCTATAAAAATAGGATGTGGGGCAAGATGGCTTAGCAAGTGCAGGTACAGGCTGATGAGCTCGACAGCCTGAGTTGCATCCCCAGGACCATTATGATGGAAAGAGAGAACTGACTTTCATAAGTTTTCTTCTTACCTACACACACACACACACACACACACACACACACACACACACACATTGGGGATCCCACACCCCCTACACTGTATTTGTGCGCGCGCGCGCGCGCGCGCGTGTGTGTGTGTGTGTGTGTGTGTGTGTGTGTGTGTGAGTGTGTGTGTGTGTGTATGTTATGTTATGTTATGTTATGTTATGTTATGTTATGTTATGTTATGTTATGTTATGTTATGTTATGTTATGTTAAAAAGTAGATTGTGGGCCACTCAGATATTTTTCATTTTCTAGCATCCATGTTTAAAAGGAAGAGAGATGAGCTGGGTGTGTACCTCAGCTGGTAGAGTGATTTCTGGGTGCACATTGCTCTGGGTTCAATCCCTAGTATCACACAAGAGACAGAGACAGAATCAACAGCTCCAAGTCATCTCTAGGCATCGTATCTAATTCAAATCCCGGGTTATATGAGAACTCATGTCAAAAAGAAAAGTCGGGTGAGCGGAGTGGTGGTGGTGGTGGTGGTGGCGCATGCCTTTAATCCCAGCACTCGGGAGACAGAGCCAGGAGGATCTCTGTGAGTTCGAGGCCAGCCTGGACTACCAAGTGAGTTCCAGGAAAGGCGCAAAGCTACACAGAGAAACCCTGTCTCAAAAAACAAAAAAAAAAAAACAACAACAACAACAAAAAATCAGATGAAACCGATTTCATATCTTATATATACCTAATATTCATAACCTAATACAAGCCCAGACACCATTCAAACCATACACATCTTGGCTTGAACTAGCCATGTTTCTGGTGTCCACATGCAGCCATTGCATCAAGGAATGTGGACTTTATCATTCACCTCCATTCGGAAGGAAACACCAACATTTCCTGAGGCATTGGTGGAAGCAGAGCCCATCAGTCCAGATCTGATGGGTCGGAGAGACCCACACACCTCTGACCATGGAGGGGCTGCTCGTGATAATGCTCTGTATCTAGGAAGGGCCTGCATGCCTGTCCTCATGGCTTCTCCCGTCAGCCCTGAAGTAGGGATTGACTCCTTTTATGAGCAAACTAACTGTCGATGCAGCTATGGTGTGCCAGAGCCAAGCTTAGACCCTGTCTGGGGAGGTGTTGCCTTAGGGGCTGAGGCCTGATGGAGGCGGTGCCCTGTATTCCAGGGCCTGGACAATGTGGTGAGGAAATGTCTGAGGAGCCAGGCCCCGTGTGCAGTCTGTATCTAGAGTGAAGGTGGAGGCCACCCATCAGGCCACTTAAGCAGGGCCATCCACAGTGGGGTGAAGCCGCAGCAGGCGGGGGGGGGGGGGGGGGGGGGGGGGGGGGGGGGGCGGCGGGGGTGGACTGCTGCTGCTCCTTGTCAGGGATTGCAGGAAGCGGTCCTGACTGCAGTGTGGGACTCTTACTCTTCCAGGAGCGGCTGCTGCCCGGGCAACAGTGGGTACTGGGTGTCTATGTCCCCCTCCCATGCCGCTGTCAGCTGGGCGTCCACGCCGGCCCAGGCAGGGCTCGGTGTCTTCTTGTAGTCACGCCATCCTCCCGGCTACTTGTCTGGGCCACTTCCTTTCAGGAAGGCAGCCAGGCAGGCTTCTGTGTGCTCTTTGGAACTGAGCTGGGAGAAAGAGGCTGCCAAGACCCCAAGGCAAGGCCAGGAAGCAGAGGGAGGGAGGGAGGAGCTGACGCCTCACTCTCCCATCCTTGACCAGCCCAGGAAGGCCTGCAGAGGACCAGACAGAGGTGAGAGGGAGCCAGAAGTCCCCACCTTAAAGGCACAGGGACCCAGGGGAAGCCAGCCTAAGACCTAGGGCCACTACACTGAGCTGCCACCTGAGCTGGGCCTGTGCCTCTCCATCCATCGGCTGAAGGGCCTCCAGGAAAGAAGGAAACAGCAGCCAATGAGAAGCCAGAGGCACCTGTTTGTTCTGCAAAGAACCTTTTGATTAGAGATCATCCCTCCAGCCTTCATTCACTGAGTACATATACTGTGCTTGCGTGTGAGTATGCACACACACACACACACACACACACACCACCAGGCTCTGTCAATGCTTAACTACTCAGTTCCTTAATTAGGCAGCTAATGGGTTTGGGGTGCCCAGAATGCAGGGGAGGCACAGGAGATAGTGGTTTGGGGTGCCCAGAATGCAGGGGAGATGCAGGAGATAGTGGTTTGGGGTACCCAGAATGCAGGGGAGGTGCAAGAGATAGATAGTGGTAGAGGCTTAGCCTTTGGCCTAAAGGGGAAGTGCAGCCTCCATAAGCTCTGAGCGGGCGGGTCTGAAGGAAGTGAGTTATCACAATTGACTGGTCACAATCAGTTACAGATTGAACTCCTGTTCTATACTCACCCCCCCTCCCCTTCTCAGTACTGCACTTAACTAGTTGTTAAAAAAGAAAAGAACTCTGAGCAGCGGCTGGCGAGACGACTCAGCAGTTAAGAGCATTGGCTGCTCTTGCTGAGGACCAGGGTTTGATTCCAGGCACCCTCATGGCAGCTCACAACCATCGTTAACTCCAGTCCCAGGAGATCTGACGCCTCTTTTGGCCTCTGCAGGACATACATGCACACAGAACACCCAGACACATGATAAACAAATAAACAAATAAATAACTGAGCAAACACACAGACAACAGTGTCCCTTAGGTATTCCCTCTAAACAGCCTTGCCTGGCATCTTTGTGCAGGGTCTGTGCTGGGGCTAAGCGGGTAGGGATGGGGTGGGGGGAGCTATTAGAGAGAGGGTGGACAGAACCCTGAATCTAGTACTGGAAGAAGACTTGGTGCTTTGGGTTGTGAGCCCAGCCTTTAACAGCTGAGCCATCTCTCCAGCCCGGAAGACCTATAACCCACGAGCCCAGAAGCATCTCCTGTCCGAGAGCCAAGAGGGCTGTGAAGGGACTCTGGAGGTCGTGGGAGCAGAGGGGACAGGGAGGGTCTCTCTGAGGATATGTGTTAGAGCAGAGACAAATGTCTACTAGTGAAGGAAGTTGTGAAGCTATAGGGGGAGTTCGAGGCCAGCCTGGTCTGCACGGTTCCGGGACAGCTAAGGCTATGTAGGGAGACCCTGTCAAGTGAAAGAAAGAGGTGGGGGCAGCTGAGGGGCTGGACGCTCCCAGGAAAGCAGCCTGAAGGAGGGCCAGGGTTTTGGGTGTCAGGCACTTGTACGCCTTCTCTTAGAGCTGAGATCGGCTGGGCCACCTGTCCTTTGTTGCCACCCTCTGTCAGGACCCTTTCAGGCTTAGTCCCAGCCTGTCCTCCCACGAAGGTGGTACCGTGTGAGTCCCGGTCCCAGTGCAGATGGCAGAGAGCACAGCAGAACTGGCCCACTCCAGTTGTACCAACCTGGGGAAACAATCCCAGGCCTCTGCAGCCAGCTAAGTACTCCAGAGCTCCTGGGGAGAAGCCACACTGGCAACACTCAGATCAGGGAGGGGACATTCTAGAATGGCAGACCTCTGGGGCCTAGGACGGTCAGCCAGTAACACCTCCCAACAGCTCCATACTGAGATCAGCTCCTCCCCAAACACAGTGCACACTGAAGGTCCTGCAGGGAGCTGTGACAGGTGTCCCCCAACACAGTGCACACTGAAGGTCCTGCAGGGAACTGTGGCAGGTGCCCCCAACACAGTGCACACTGAAGGTCCTGCAGAGAACTGTGGCAGGTGTCCACCAGATCTCTAGGTAAAGACCTAGATCCCCTATTTCTCAAACTCCTTAACTCCACAGAAGGCAGTGTATGGGCAGACAGGCCTTGCTCTGTGACCCTGGGCAAGTCACTTACTCTCCACAGGCTTTAGTCTCCTGGTCTCGAAAGTGGAGTTAGGGCTGGAGAGATGGCTCAGAGGTTAAAAGCACTGCTTGTTCTTTCAAAGGTCCTGAGTTCAATTCCCAGCAACCACATGGTGGCTCACAACCATCTGTAATGAGATGTGGTGCCCTCTTCTGGCCTGCAGGCATACATGTAGGCAGAACAGTGTATACATAATAAATAAATAAATCTAAAGAAAGAAAGAAAGAAAGAAAGAAAGAAAGAAAGAAAGAAAGAAAGAAAGAAAGAAAGAAAGAAAGAAAGAAAGAAAGAAAGAAAGAAAGAAAGAGGAGTTAATAATCCAGTCAAGCCTCATGATCAGATCCAGGGAGCTTGAGAACAGCAAAACTGGAAGAGTCCCAATGGCCAGTTGGTGGCCTCTGGGGATTCTCAGAGGGGGACATGGAGGACACAGTGACATCTACTGAGAAGGTGACACCAGAATCAATAGGTGAACACAGCAGCCGGTATTTATTCTTGGGTGCTGACCCCAAGCGCCGTCCCCCCACTACCCCATCCATCTGCCTGTCTGGAGCAGGAGGTCCAAGTCGGCTAGCAGCTGGAATCAGCGGTGGACGTAGTCACAGGTCAGCGGCTCTGAGGGGTGCAGCTGGAACTGAACTAAACGAGAAGGACATGTGGGAAGGGTTGAGGGTACCAAACTCCTGTCTCCCTTATCCTGACCCTCTGGTCCTGCGTGCTTGGCAGTTGTGGGGCACTGCTGTGCACCCTGCCTATGGGAGCGGCAAGTCAGTGTGACCCCCTACATCCCACCCCGTGCCCCTGCCTTGAGATAGAGCCTCCCTTATTTCTCGGTTAGAGGATGGCGCTGCCCAGCCAGACCCACCTGGCAGGGCTCTCAGTGCTGGTCCAGGATGAGGGGCACCTGTGCGCTGTCCACTCGAGGAGGCAGCCGCTCTCCCGTGCGTACGTTGAACATGGGTAAGGTAGAAAGAGGCCGAGGCACCTCACGGCTGGCTGCCATCTGCCGAAGCTCTTCCGTATTCCCGTGGATGGTGCAATGGTGAACCATCTGGATGCTGGAGACAAAGCAGAAGATCATCAGCTCTTGAAACGAGCCTCTAGGGTCCAGCCTGGCACTGTCTCAGAGCCACCCTGCAGTCTGCCTACCAGGTCTGGTTGTAGGGGCACCTAAACACAGGATGTAAGTGCAGGGGGAAATGGGGAATTCACTGGGGCCTGCTTGTGCCCAGTGACTGAGACAAAGCTCAGGGTGCAGACAACCTAGATTTAAAGCTCTGTGTTGTTGGCTTAACCCCTTTGTGCCTCCACTTCCTCCAAGTGTAAAACACAGATGATAATGGTAACTCTCCTCCTAGACTGTTATGCAAAGTAAGGAAAATACAGCTGGGGGTTTGGAATAGTGGCCCGCATAGGTAACACACGAGATGCCAAGGCAGGAGCAGATACCCACATGGAGCATATATTTGCAGAAGCTGGTACTGGCTGGGATTTCTAAGTCTAGTGTTCTGGTTTGTTTGTTTGTTTGTTTGTTTGTTTTAAGACTTAGGTAGCCTGAGCTTCAAACTCAATACTTACAGAGGATGACCTTGAACTCCTGATCCACCAGCTTCCACCTCCCAAGTGCTAGGATCACTGGGATGTGCCACCATACTCAGTGTACATATGTGTGATAAACCCAGCATGCTGCACATACTAGACAAGTGTCCTCCCACCTGGCCTCCTCCTCAGCTGTATGATGTCTTTATATTCCGACGGTCTTCTCAGTTCCTTCTAGAATTCGGCAGCCTCCCTCAGTACCAACTCCAAACACCAGGACTAACTCTCTCACCTTCCTCCTGTCTTTTGTTAGTCTGGCTATCCGGCTCATTCCTTCACCTCCTCTTATCTCCCAGACCTCCACCCTTCTGGGAATACCTTCCCCGTGTCCCATCAAGCTCTGGATCTCATTATCTGGGCTCCTTGAACTTGATCTCTGTTCCTTTGTGCCTGCCCCCCTCTGCCCCATACCTGCCTCCCTGTCTCTCTTTCAGACCAGAGCTCCCTGAGCTGTTCCCAGCTCCACCCTCAGCAACTTGGAAACCCCTACTGCAGGGCGTGGCCACACCCATCAGGCCTTTCCTGAACTCCAGCTTCAGGTCCTGATTTAATCACATGTGACAGACTGTCCTTGGTCCTTGCCTTCTGTCATCCAGGGGCAAGCTGCAGTGTGTCTGAGCAGAGGCTGGCACGGGAGCAAAGCCTTGGTTTTTCACTGAAGCTTCAGCTGCTTACTGCTTTGTGACATTTGGCAACTTGCTAACCCTCTCTGTGGCATTATTATAGGAAGCTATATTTTACTATAGCAAGCCCAGCGGTGAATTTTACCTCCAGGGGAAGTTGTTTTCAAGCCTAATTTATATGAATCCACCTTATTTGTTGGCTTAGTCTGGTGACATTTTCCCAAACTCGCGATCATCAAATCAGAGCAGAGATTTCTCTTTGTAAACAATGTTTTTTGTTTTTTTTTTTTCCTGCTAGGATTAAGGCTGAGGCAGGAAGAGTGTGAGTTTGAGGCCAGCTTGGGCTGCACAAGGAAGCTATATCAAAAACAGTTTTTAAAAATAGAATTGGGCTGGGCGGTTGTGGCACACACCTTTAAGCCCAGCACTTGGGAGGCAGAGCCAGGCGGATCTCTGTGAGTTCGAGGCCAACCTGGTCTACAGAGAGAGATCCAGGACAGGAACCAAAACTGCACAGAAAAACCCTGTCTTGGGGGGAAAAAATAGAATTGGGTTTTCTTAGGGAAACCAGGCTCCAGGCAGGCTAAAGAATGCCTCTTCCCTTGTCATTTGATTACTAATAAGGTAGTGGACCACAGCTGCAGTTAAGAGCCTGAGGCTGGAGAGATGGTTCAGAGGTTAAGAGCACTGGCTGCTCTTCCAGGGGACCTGAGTTCAAATCCGCACAACCACATGGTGGCTCACAACCATCTCTAGTGGAATCTGATGCCCTCTTCCGGCATAAAGGTGTACATGCAAATATTGTGCTCATATACATAAAATAAATAAATCTTTAAAAAAGGCGGGGGGCGGGGGGTAGAGCTGAGGGATTAGACCACTGAAAGACAGGCAGGCCTCCTGGAGAAGAGTCGGTGCTCCCCTTGGAAGTGACACTGAGCACCCACTGGCCAGGAAAAGAAGTGAGGTCACTGTCTAAGGCCAGGCAGAGTTAGATAAGCTCCTAAATGTGGAATCTGACAAACTGAGTTGTCAGAAACACAACTTTTCATCCCTGGGGGAGGAGACCCTGTAGAGGGGAGAGAGCAAGAAGTGTGTGGATGCTAAGAGAGGCCAGTGTGGCAAGTGTGTCCCCCAAGGCAGGAAAGGCCCTTACAAGCAGCCCCTCCCCCTCCAGCTCCACATCCAGGTCTCATCACTCTTGTAATGCACAGGTAGAACAATTTCCCCAAGCCGGGCGGTGGTGGCGCACACCTTTAATCCCAGCACTGGGGAGGCAGAGGCAGGCAGATCTCTGTGAGTTCGTGGGCAGCCTGGTCTAGAGAATGAGATCCAGGACAGGCTTCAAAGCTACACAAAGAAACCCTGTCTTGAAAAACAAACAAACAAACAAGAAAAGAGAAGAAAAGAGAAGAGAAGAGAAGAGAAGAGAAGAGAAGAGAAGAGAAGAGAAGAGAAGAGAAGAGAAGAGAAGAGAAGAGAAATCTCCCTAAGAAGAGCAGATGAGCAGACATCAAATCCAGAGGCGCCTTCCCAAGAGGCTTCATGTAAGTACTCCAGGCCAAGGCACTGTCACGTACAAACACAAACCCACAGACACACGCACACACGTGTGGTCACAGGTCTCTCCTACACCTACTCCACCACCAACGGACATTCTGCCCCCAAACACAGAGGCCCACAGGGCAATGCCACTGGGGCCTGGAGAACTCTGTGACCAGTCAGATCTGCTGCCAGTGAGAAAGTCACCAGGCAGCAAAGTCACTGCTTGTGGCTAGTTTGAAAAGTGGCAGACATTGATGTAGGTAAAATAACTGTATCTGGTAGAACTAAATCAGCACAAAAGTCAGGCCAGCCCAGGATGCTCGAACACAGGGCAAAATTATTGGTTACAATCAAGAGGAGAGCAGGTCTCCCTGACATCAGAGGTACAAACTGAACCAAGAAAGCTAGAAGTGGCAAAAAAAAAAAAAAAAAAAAAAAAAACCACTGGTCACAAGAGAAAAGTCACAATGTCAGTGACACAAGTGATTAAGTCTGTCACAGCCCACAAAAAAAACTTATAAAAAAATCCTCTTGTGAAATGTCAAAATTATTGATCTCAGTGGAAGAGATCTATAAAGCAAAAACAAATAAAAGACATAAAACCCAGTCAGGCATGGTGTCGAATGCCTTTAATCCCACCCAATACTCAGAAGGCAGAGGCAGGTGGATCTCTGTGAGTCCAAGGCCAGCCTGGTCTACATAATAGAGAGACCCTATCTCAAAAAAACGAAAACAAAGCCCAAAACCTTTCTTTTTTTTTCTTTTTGGTTTTGAGACAGGCTTTCATGGAACCCAGAATGGCCTTTGAGGGAGGCGAGGTGGAGATCCTCCGGCCTCCACTCCTACGGTGCTGGGATTACAGGCATGGACCAACACACCCAGTTTAATAAAGCATTTTACCAGTTTCATATGGAAGACTGGTTAATTTAATAAATCGAGGAATTGCATTTTACTCTGAAAATTATGTAATCTCCTTTAAAAAGTATGATTATAATTCTTATGTTTAAAATGTATTGGAAGAGTTCAGGTGGTAAAGTGTCTGCCTAGCACGCACGAAGCCCTGGGTTCAACCCCAGCGCCACACAAGCTGCATGTGGTGGCACATCCGTAATTTCTAGCACTCAGGAAGGCGAAGGTAGGAGAATCAGAAGTTCAAGGTTATTTTCAGCTGTATATTGAGGCTAGCACTCTACCTCAAAAAATAAACAAATGTGGCCAGGCATGGTGGCACACACCTTAATCCCAGGACTCCAGAGGCAGAGGCAGGGGCAGGTGGATCTCTGTGACTTTGAATCCAACCTAGCACATATAGGGAACTCCTGCCCATCAAGGGCTATATAGTTTGATCCTGTCATGGCTATCAGTGGTGGCGCACACCTTTAATCCCAGCACTCGGGAGGCAGAGGCAGGAGGATCACTGGGAGTTCGAGGCAAGCAAGCCTGGTCTACAGAGTAAGTTCTGGGACAGCCAAGATTGTTACACAAACTGTCTCAACCCCTACCCCCCAAAAAAGCTGACCCTGTCTCAAAATAATAAACACAAAATATTAGCATTTTTACACTCAGAGACACAAAGACACAATGAGCAGAAGATGTTGGCAATTCAGGGGTGGATTTAAAAGTGAGGGCTTGAGTTAGGAAGATAGTTCAGTGATGAGACACTTGCCTAGTACACAGCACCACTAACTGACTAACTAAAGGTCCTGGAATTGGTTCAGAAATGTACACGTCACATATGCACGGGCATTCCCTGTGTGGGCTCACCCTGCTACAGCTCTCAACTGAAGGGCATCTGGCACATCAGATGTCCCCACTGTCTCATGCCTCTGAGCTTCCCAAGAAGAGACAGTGGGTCTGCTATGACCCCCACAGGATTCTGCCCACCTCACAATGGCCTCCTGAGGTCATAGCGGAGATAACTTCACCAGCCCCTGAGCCCACAGCACAAGTCTGCTGAGGCCAACCGTGGGTGATCATCCTCGGTCCTCCCTCTGGCCACCCAGAAGAGGAGCCTCTGAGGGAAGCAGAAGCCAGAACACAGCTCGCCCACTACTGAGAGTAGCCCGGCGGATACTTCCAGCCGCCACCCTGGAGGTCTTAGCATCCAGTGCCCTGCAGTCATCCCCGGGAGAGATGCAGAGAGACACATTGCTGGTGTCACCATCTACAGCCCCAAATTCTGCGGTGGCTGTAGACCAAGATGCCAGCACATCAGACGACCCAAGCAAGAGTGAGACGGGGCCCTACACCTGTCCCCAAACCGTGCGGAAGCCCAGCATGTCGAAGGTGATTCTGAGGGCTGTGGCTGACAAGGGGTTGCACAGACGTGTGTCCCTTGTTGCCTTGAAGAAAGCTGTGAGCACCACAGGCTACAATATGGCCCACAACAGCTGGCGCTTCAAGCGTGCGGTCGAGAATCTAGTGAAGAAAGGCATGCTCAAGCAGGTAACTGGCAAGGGTGCCTCAGGCTCTTTCCGCCTGGGCAAGAAGCAAGCCTTCAAGTCCAAGCGCAAGGCCAAGAGACGCCAGCGGAGGCAGCGGAGGCAGAAGCCTAGGCAGCGCCGGTCTGGACCACGCCAGTCACTACTAGGCTCTGGAAAGAGCCATAAAGGGCTTTTCAAGGGAGTTCGTAGGGGGGCCAGAGGCCGCCGCCATTAATAAGGCAGGTTAGGCGGGGTACCAGGCTTGCCACAAGCTCAGTGAGATGGAAATAAAAGCCCAACTTATTTCACAACTGTCTTCTGGAATCTTTGGGGTTCAGAGGGTGGGAAAATTAGGCCAGGGGCTGAGGGGCACAGGGTGGGGGAGGAGGCCATGGATGATAGGAGGAATCTGAGGCAGAATAAGATGGGCTTGGAAAGATACGGTAGGATTCAAAGCATCCATTGCCATCCACTAGGCCAGCCACATCCTCTAACACATGGAGAATCAGAGGCCAGATGTCTGGTTCACAGCGGGGGAAAGCAGAGGGAGGGAGGGAGGGAGGGAGGGAAGGAAGGAAAGATGGAGAGGAGGGAGGGAGGGGAGGAGGGAAGTAGGGAGGGATGGAAGGAAGGAGGGTTGGAGGGAGGAAAGGAAAGATGGAGGGAGAGAAGGAGGGAGGGAGGGGGAAGTGGGAAATGGGGAGATGAGGGAAAGAGAGAAAAGGAGGGAAGGAAGGAAGGGGCAGGATGGAGAAGAGCGAAGGAGGAGGAGAGAGGAAAAAGGGATCCACACGGGGAGCCGCTTGCCGCCTCTCAAGCCCTGTCCTCGGTGCAGGGGCAGATCCCCTTCCCTGCGCTGTGCCACAATAGCCTCTTCTATGACCAGAACACAGGAGGACAAGGTCAGGACATGGGCTTAGCCTCCAGCCAGCCCAGGGCCAACCCTCAGAGGTCACTGCTGCTCATAAAGAGTGAAGGGTCCAATTCAACAGTCCAGGGGAGGGGAGCATCCCCTATCCAACCTCCCCCCCCCCCGTCTTCGCTTTACTCACTCAGAGGTGGCCATGTCTCTCTTCAGCCTGTGGAAAAATGGAGGGGGGGGGCAGTCAACACAAGTGCGGCTTTGCCCCACGGTGTCCCGAGAGCTCCCGGGTAGGAATCTCATGTGCTTAGATTCAGAATCGCTCCTAGTCCCAAGCCAGACAAGAGTGGACCTCCATCTGCCTAGAAAGGGGGCCCCACATTCCTCTTACAGTTGAGAATCCCATTCCCTGAGAAGTATGGCTCCCCCAGTCTCAGGGTGGTCCCTTAGATGTGCCAGGCTTCTGCTCCCCCTGGCCAGCAAGCACACTCACCGTCCTTCACGCCGGCAGCACATGACATAAGCCAGCAGCAGGGTGAGCAGTAGCGCCACCAGCAGAGGCACCAAGAGGGTGACCAAGGCATCTGCCAGGAAGTCTTGGCCTGTGGCCTCAGTGGGTGGGCAGAAAAATGGGTCATGCTCCAGGATCCCGTCACCTGGAGTAGGCACCTCATCCAGGGGCTCCGGCACCGACCTGTCCACCTGTGTAGAGTCCAGAGCTGACCCAGGAGTAGTAGCTCAATGGGCACACGGGACACTGTCCCACAGGAAACATGGCAACCACCAATCTGTCGACCCCATATAACCACAGGCCTTCTTCCTGCCTGCCTTCCCTAGCCCATGAGACTACAGGATGGACACTGGATGAGGGGCCAGGAGAAGCCAGTTCCAGGAGAAGCAGGGATGTACAACAGTTAGTATTGGTGCTACGTTTGGACTGCCTGAGTGTGAACTCGGGGTCAGGCTAGTGCTTCATGGGGGTGAATTGCCTCAACGTGGTCAGTGAATTCAGAATGATGATAAGTGTGCTTATTCCTGCAGTGAACCATGGTGGTGAAGAGACCTGGGGGTGAGCACACAGCCTTCAGTAGGCTGCCCATGACCAGTGCTAGCCCCTGACCCTGATGGAGTCCCCTGTTGCTGGTTCCCGGGAGCTGTACACCAGCAGTTTCCAGTCAGGGATCAGGATCCCTAGGGTCCCTTGAAACATCACCAAGAGCCCAATGAGTCTCTTATTGCAGGCAGCCTTGTTTGGTGGCACTTCCTCCGAAAGCAGACAGGGCTGTCACACGGATGCCCTTGCTGGAGTTCTAACTTAGGAATTCTTGGTAGTTTCAGCTGTTGGGCTGAGCAGACCAGGGACTCAGAGCTGGAGCGTCCAGATGTGGACTGTAAGCTTTGTCGCCCTCTTGTGGCAGGAAATAGAACTTTGTGTGTGTGTGTGTGTGTGTGTGTGTGTCCATGACAGAGACCCCAGACTGATTCTGAGACGCAAACTGACCCTATCAGAGAAAAAAAGCTGGGCTAGAGAAATCATAGATAGAGAGGACTTGATGAGGACTGTACCCTAAACCCAAACCCCAGAACCAGGATCCCTTCTCACCAGAGATACATTGCACCAGTCAACACGGAAATGGGGTGCCAAGTTGTCATAGCAGGACAGTAATGGAGGCTGTCCCTGGGCACAACGGGCAGAGCTGTCCGGTGATGCCACCATCTTCAGGCAGGTGGAGAAGGGTGTGGCAGAGCCCACCTTGATGTATACCCTGAGGCAGAAAGAAGCCACCGTCAGCACAGTGGAAGAGGGTAGGGCACCTCTCTGTCAGGGAGAGGTGAAGGTGTCCTGACAGTAGGCAAGGACCTGGGCGAGGGCAGGGCTGGCCCATGGGAGACACATGAGGGCCTGATGGGAGCGGTCACAGCCCCCCAAGACCTGAGACCAAGTCAGAGCACCCCACTCGTTATGCACCCCAGAAATGACTTTTAACAGATGGATCTCAGATGTCCTCATGGGGTATCAGCAAGTACAGACTTCAGGGTGATGAGGGTTTGAGCCCAGGAAGGAGATGGAAGGGGAGGGAAGCAAAGAGAGATCAACCTGATGAAGGCATGCCACGGTGGTAATCAGGAAATCAGGGAGGTGGCTATTTTGGGTCCATTCCCCAGCCAGCCAGGAAGCCCTCCCGGATTGCCCCCTTACCCTTCCTTCCGGCCCTCGATGGGAAGAGGGACGCGACCTCCACGGTCCAAGGCAGAAGTGATGTTGAGCAACTGGAGCTCCCCTGGCTCCCAGAGTCCCCCCAAGGCGGTGAGGAAGCGGCTGGCAGGGGTGGAGGGCAGCACTTCCTCCACATCATGGCTGCGCACCAGGAACTCGGCTTGGTATGGCAACCGGGGACCTGGGGAGGCCAAGTCAGCACTCAGTTGGGCCCCACCCTGTGCTCGGTTCTCCAGGTGCTTCCTAAACCTCCTCGGAGTTTTCCCATATTCCGCACACCACCTCTGCTCCAACAGCCTGTGTACAACACAGGCCTTAAGTTCCCTTTCCCAACACTGCGGCCAACGGCCAACGACTGCCTAATGCCCTGCAGCCTGCGGGCAGCTCAGTTACACAGGTGAGGACAGACCTCCCTCCAGAGCTCCTTCCCTAAAGCTATCAATGCCCCGCCGCGCTGCATCTGCCCTGATGCCCCCTCTCCGGGGTGCCGCGCTCCCCACTGCTTCCCAACACTCTTCAAGATTGGCACCAGTGGAGGAATGGAATAGGGATGGAGGTACCTTCAGGGTCCTCAATCAGCAGCAGCAGCCGCTGTCTAGTGGTGTCAAAGCTGTCGCGATTGTAGGCTGTGACCTGGGGGAATGGAAAGAGGGCGGAGGACAGGGGCTAAGGGGAAGCGGGTATACATGGAGTGTATGCAAATTATATGTAAATAAGCATGCATAAACCCCCCAGTCCCACTGGCAGGGCTAGTCCTAGGAGGACCCAGTGGCCACCCCCAGGGGGTCTGGATGTTTCTGGCCGCCGCCGGCACCTCGATGACCTGGCGCCCACGATCTTCCGGAGTGGGAGTGCCATAGAGGAAGCCAGGGTTATAGGGACTGCGCTGTGTGTAGCGCAACCACCGGGGCAGGTCTGGATGTCCCTGGAGGTGGGCCTGGTAGGTGAGTCGGACGGTAGGTGGCACCGCTGACGGAAGAAACAAGAGGAGATTGGGAATTGGAGACAGGACAGGCGATCGGGATTGGCACACTCCAGCCCATCTGGCCCCTCGCTCACCGATGTGTTCTGGCAGGCGCAGGAAGGTGGCATGTTCCAAAGGGTGCACAAACACACGGCCCACGAGTGGGTACAAGGTGGTCTGCTGGGCTGTGGTGTCCCTCAGCCCTGCCAGAAGACCTGTGGGGGACCCCATAAACCCCAAACACACAGCTTCAGTCACAGGCAGGAGGCGAGCTCCCTTCCTCACAGTGGTCCTGATGTTCTGAGAGCTGAGGTCTCCTGGCTGGCTCCAAGTGGTGGGGTGCAGACCCTGCTCTGATGCATAGTTTAGAGGGTAACAAGCCCCAGACTTTCGTTGGCTTTGGATTCATGGGAGGGACCCCCAGCCATCATTTCAGTCCATGTTTTGGGCCCACAGTGGGAGGGGACTGATGTCTGGCTGAGAAAGGTGTTGTATGCTGTCTGTGTTCAGGTTACTTGAAAAAAGAACCCCATGTTGAATGTCTGGGAAGCTGGAGATAGAGAGGACCCTCAGAAAAGGGGTAACCACGACGAGGCCCCCAACTCCCAGAGAAGAACACAGAACAGGGTCTACAATGTAGGCCAATAGGAGCCCAGCAAAGTGGACTCACCCAGGCTGCCTCCTCCTTCCCTCTTAATGCCAAATTTAGCCTGTCTGCCAGAAGTAGCGTCCCAGCCAGCTCATTAAAGGGCCCATGACCTCTTCCCTTGTCCTGCCATGTCCACCCAGGGCTCTAGGACACCCCTGCCCTCAAAGCTCGCAGTCCCCATCCTCCAGAGCCCAGCTCCCAGTCCCTGGATCCTCGAGTGACTTATCATTACCCCACCCCCCAAAACCCTCTAGGTCCTGTTTCACCCACCCCAAACCCCTCTTCTGAGGACCCCCCCCACTCTTCTTCCTCATAACCTCTAAATTCCACCCCTCATTCTGTCCCTTCCCCTGAAGAAGATCCCCGACTTGCCCACAAGGAGAGGAATCCAAGTCAGCACGGCTGCCATGGCTGCCCCAGCCTAGCCAGCCCTGTGAGTGACAGAGACAGGGGCTGGAGCAGAAGAGGGAGGGGCGGGGAGGGGGAGGAGGTGTGTCAGAGCAGCTGGGAACAGCCTGGCCCGGAGTGAGCACTGAATCTGGCACAGACGCTGTCCTCACACACTGTGTCCCCCAGCTGTTTCCTGGTGACCACAGTGGGCTTTATTTTGTGTGTATGTTTCTTTTTTTTTTTTAATATCATATATTTGATGCATTATCCTGCGCTTTACTTGTTTCTTTTTTTATTTTGTTATTGTGTGTGTTTGTGTGTTTCCTGCACATACGTCTGTGCACCACCTGAATACAGTGGCTCCCAGAGGCCAGAAGGGGGAACTGGACATCTGATACCCTAGAACTGGAGTTACACGTGGTGGTGAGCAGCCATGCGGGTGCCAGAAATTGAACTCGGATCTTCTGGAAGAGTAGTCAGAGCTCTTACCCACTGAGCTACCCTCGTTTTTGTTTTATGAGACAGTCTCATGTAGCCCAGGCTGGCGTCAAATTTGCTATGTAGTGAAGATGGCCTTAAACTACGTCTATTTCTCCTCCTGCCTCCATCTCCTGAGTGCTGAGATGGCAGGTACGCCCCATGCTCGGCAATGCTGGGGACTGGACCCGGGACTCTGTGTATGTTAGTCAAGGACTCCATAAACTGAGCTACATTCACAGCCTTGTTGTTTTTTGTTTTTTGGGTTTTTTTGGTTTTGTTGTTGTTGTTGTTTGTTTGTTTGGTTGGTTGGTTGGTTGGTTTTTTGAGACAGGGTTTCTCCGTGTAACAATTCTGGTTATCCTAGAACTACATTTGTAGACTGGGCTGGCCTCAAACTCACAGAGATCTGCCTGCCTCTGGCTCCCAAGTGCTGGGATTAAAGGAGTGTGCCACCACACCAACCCAAAATGTATTTGTTTATACATATGGGTGTTTTGTCTGCACACAAGAGGAAAGCATTGGATCACACATGTCTACAGCTGTAGTCTATTTGAGCTGCCATGTGGGTGCTGGGAATTGAACTCAGGATTTCAGGAAAAGCACTCAGTGCTTCTAATTACTGAGCCATCTCTTCAGCCCCTCAGCATGTTTTCTAAACCACCAATCTGGCTACTTGGGCCCTCTCTTAAATTTTTAGGATTTATTTTTATTTTGAGTGTATGAGTAATTGCCTGCATGTGTGTTTATGTATGACATGCATGCTTGGTGCCCATGGAGATCAGAAGAGGGAGCCAAATGCCCTGGAATTGAAGAAACAGTAGGTGGATGTTGGAAACTGTCCTTTGCAAGAACAGTCAGTGCTCTTAACCACTGAGCCATTTCTTCAGACCCGCCCCCTTTTAAAATCTCAGTGACTCCCATTGCCTTTGAGTTCCCAGCTCATATCCAGTGGAGGACTTTCTGGCCCTTCCTCTATCTGGCCATTTTGTCTAGAACCCCATCCCCACCCCCATACATCTCCAGTCTCTGGCCCTCCCTCTGCCCTTGCCTAGCTTAATATGTCTTCTTAGTCTCCTGGCACCCGTCCAAGCTGTTCCCTCTGCCTCGTATTCCCTTCCTGCCTTGTCCCTTGGGCAGACTTTGATCAGACTGCATGCACAAGTCCCCTCCTCCCTGAAGCCTTTCCTGTCCCTCCTCTTCCTAGGCTGGCTGCTTACGGAGGAGTCCACACACACGCACACATCTCTGTCAGCTCAGCCCCACAGCATCGTGGTGTGGAACAGGTGTTCTGGTCTCCTCATCTTACCACCTTCTTAGCCCTGAGCCTGACGTGGGGTCTAGCAACTAGTAAGTGCAGGGGGCTGGTTGATAACTTCCTTAACAGTTTCCCCCCAGTCCGAGCCCCAGACCAAGCATCTCCATATGAAGGCCTGGATGGAAAGAACCCAGATGGTACCGTCAGGTGGGGACAGGTAAGCCGAGGAGAGGCTCTCTGGCTCATGTAGCTGGAGCTCAGTGCACAGGCTTGGCGTCCCAGCTTGACAGTTCCTGTAGACTGTCTTATCACTCGCCCTCTCTAGGCCTGTTCTCACGACTATAAACTGCATGATTAGTGCTGGCCTCTGGGCACCGCCGTGCAGAATCCACACAAACACCCATGGTAGCATGTGTTCAGCCACCTGTATCATACAGGGATGAGAACATCCTGTCTGACTGGGGCTGGTGATGGTGGGAAGGACAGATGACCTGTTAGCTTCTGTGCCAAAATGCTTCCATGCATCTGTGGGCACTGACCCATTCTGTACCCACAGCAATGGCCGAGGTAGACGTTACTATAGCCCCCATTTAACAGTTGATAACACTGAGGCATGGCGGTTTCTAACGTCCTCCAAAGCCATGCTGCTGCTGATCGAATGCTCAGAAAGTGCATAACCCTGTGTCCAGCTCCCTCCTCGAGGTACTGGATGGTGGACACCACCGAGGAAGAAACAGTGCCCACCACTGCCAGCACCCCACAGTCTCAGCAGGCATGGCCCCAAGGCTCATGCGTCGCTTACCTCACCCCACCCTGAATGTCCCGGTCAGGCTTGCATTCAGGTGACTAGTGGGCAGGTTTTGTCCTTGTCCCATCTCTCTTCCCACCTGACCACCCTGCTTGTCCCTGGAGAGTCACAACATTCCCAGAGTCAGCATCCACGCAGGCTCCCAGGCAGGTGTTTGTCCCCGGGGTCACCTTGCCATCTCCTGCCTTCTCCGAGATGGAGGAGAGAGGAAAGGGGTGTGGAGGCAGAGCAAGAGTGGAAGGCGCGGAGAGTGGGCGGGGCTCGGAGCCGGCAGATGGCCCTGCCCTGCCCCTGCCTCCCGTGTGACGCCCTCCCCAGATGCCTTACTGCTATTTTTGGTGTCACTCGCTCGCACCCTCAGCTGCGTTAAGGCAGAGTGTGCTCCAGTGTCATCAACTCCCAAAGACGCAAGGTTCACAGGGGCCGGCCTCCCTCAGTGGAAAAGCTACAGCTACTTCTCTTCTCCTCTTCCCCAAGAGCACCCCCATTCAGGAGAGCCAGGGAATGTCCCAGGAATCCACCGGAGGCCCCCAAAGCTCCCAGGTCAGGAGCTGCTGCATTAAAACACCTCAGGCTGTTGGGATCTAGGGACTGGAAAGGTGTCGCAGAATCTTGAAACCTTTTTTTTTTTTTTTTTGAGAAATTTTTATTGATTGCTTTCTGTTTTAGGAAACTGGACCTGACTGTGCAGGCACGCTCCTTTAGTTCCAGCATGAAGGAGGCAAAGGCAGGCAGATCTCCGTAAGTTCAAGGCCAGCCAGGGCTACACAGTGAGGCCCTGTCTCAAAGGAAAAAGGGAGGGCTGGAAAGATTGCTCAGGCTGGGAGCACTTGCTGTCCTTCTGGAGGATCTGAATTCAGCTCCCAGCACCCACACAGGAAGTTCACAATCACCTGTAACTCCAATTCCAGGGGATTCAGCTAAGTGTGGCATACACACACACACACACACACACACACACACACACACACACACACTAAATTATTAACTTTCTTTTCATTTTATGTACATTGGTGCTTTGCCTGCATGTGTGTCTGTGTGAGGGTGTCAGATCTTGGAGTTACAGACAATTGTGAGCTGCCATATGGGGGCTGGGAACTGAACCATGTCCCCTAAAGAACAGTCAGTGCTCTTAACCACTGAGCCATCTCTCCAGCCTGGAAAAAAAAATTGTTTGAACATGCACAGAATAATAAAACAGGCCCTTATATATCTATTCCTTATATATCTATCATCCAGCTTTAACAATTATCAACTCCTAGCCAATCTCTTCCTGTCTATCTCACCCAGGTCCCCTCTCCCATTTAATTTCATCTGTCAATATCTCAGTACATATCTTTTAAAGATAATTACTCTTTCTCTCTAAACACAATCACAAAGTATTACCAGTTATCAAACTTCCAGTGTTTGAATTTCCATTCTCTTGTAAATTTCATCTTTATTTATTCTCTAGGACACTGATCTCAAACTCACGGGCTTAAGGGATTCCCCTGCCTCAGCTTCTCAAACGCCTGGGACTGTGGCCTCATGCCTTGGTACTTCTCTCATTTCAGGCTTTGTTTTGCTTTTCGTTGAGACAGGGTCTCTCACTTTGTAGCTCTGGCTGGTCTGGAACTCATGACTCTCTTGCCTC